TGTACATCCTCTGGTCTAGCCAGATTTGTATAGTAGAATTGGGATCATGATAGTTGGGGGAGGAAGCATTTAAGAACTACAGGAAAGTTGTATGTTTCATCATTGATACCCTTCACCCTGACTGGCTCCCCTGCAACCCTTCTGTAAGGGGGTATCTAGTTACCTACAGATGAGCTTTGGGTATCGACTCTGCACTCACCCTCATTTACAATGATAAAAACACTCCATTTTTAAAAAGGAAGAAAAAACAAATCTTCTTTAGAATGTAGCCATCCCAAAATGGAGGACATGATTTTCATATTTGCAATATGCAAGTATTTACCTGCTCCTCTATTTGTTCAATTAGCAAGTATTAACTGGGAAAGCAGAACACTCTCAGTGGACAGTTTGTTGTATGTAAATTATACTTCAAAAAAATTGATTGAAAAAAACGTTCTGGCACTGAAGATGACAGAGAAGGTAAATTATCTGGAGATACCCTGTGTAGACAAAAAAAAAAAGAGGAAGGGACTCTGTTCATTTATCAGAAGGGTGATTGGCTTGATGTTGTCAGAGCCTGTCTTTAAATGTGGGCATTTCAGCAGTGATGCCTTAAGGGGAAATTATAGTTGTCATTTCTAAAAATGTTTTCTCCTTAGAAACTCCCACCTTGATCCATGAAACCTTCCGTGCACTGGAGCCAGGTCTATCTGCATATGCTGATGACATTGAAAAGGTAATATCATAATTTTCCAATTCCTGAAGTCTGTCTGTTCACAAAGTTTGTCCTCTACCTGGTTTGTTAAAGCCAGCCCTTTATATAGAAATGTACATTCTCACAGAGTCATCGCTGAGTGTGCTGTCAGGGCACTTACATGTACACGTGGCCAGCAGGGCTAGTGCTGGGGAATGCGTGGACAGACTGCCGCTGCCCCACCAGCCTTGCCCAGAAGTATAAAAGCTACAAACTGACAAATCCCCACCAAAAGCTTTTGAAAGTTGAGTCATTTAAGTTGCCTTACATTGACTTTGTTTTGAGAGTTAATTTTACATAACATATTGTGGGGGACCAGCCTCCACAACCAAGTGGGTCCTAGGGGGCAGTTGTGTAATTGAAGGGTAAATTAAAGAAACATCAGAAAAGGTATGCAAGTGCTCACCTCTTCCATGACGACCAGAACCAGAGAGTAGGGGCAAATGTATTCTCTCACAAGCTTATATAATCTCCGGCATACAAGCCATGCCATGCACATATGTAACAGGAGGGGGTTGTATTAGAGGCATACACATAACAGGAAAGGAAAGAGCTAGGGGTATACACATGACGGAAAGGTACATATATAACAAGATGGATGTAATAGTCTAGGTACTTTGGAGAAACAAATCCACAGCGACTCATGTATAAGA